CGTCGAAGGGACTCAATCTTAGCTCTGGGATACTATTGCAATCCAATCTGCAAGCAGACCAAGCTCTCAAAGGAGCTACAGGTTCGTAGGGGACACCAGCGTACAGGTGTTGAGTCTTCGTCCCCCAACTCCCCTTATTAGAACTATGTAGTAAAATACGTGTAGAAAGAAGTTGTCCTTAACTGGCTCGGCACCAACGATTTGAGCGAGTCTATTTCCATGGACGATGAGCTTAGGGACTCAGTCACCACTGCAACTGCAGTGAGCTGGTATCTAGGAATGCTAATCTGCTCTCACACCTAAATACTCCGTAGAATCAACGGAATTATATCGTGGGACTTGTGTATCATTCATGTTTCGCCGTCATACTGTCCCAAGAGGTCTGCAACTTGCGACCTGCAATGGCCCCCGAAATTCAGAAGCTCTGCCAAGGAAAGTACTTCGAATACTTCCTATAAGCCGAAAACTCGACGAGTTTCGTTGATTTCTCGTGGAATATTTTGAGGTAGACCCTACGACACATTTCTCAGACGTGGTGGTTGGTGACATCTAGGTATAGAGATACTCTCATGTAGTTTTCGCTCAGTCTGTCCTCGCTCTAGTGAATGCAGATTTAATACAGAAATAAAACTTGTCCAAAAGATTACTGGAGGGTGTTTTGAGAAATAACGCAAATTATTTCGATCTCGAGTCAAGATGTTTTGTGTTCAGCGCAGTTTTTAGCCTAGCGAGGCTGATGCTAAGCGGCTTGCCCCACCATAGTGCCCCACTCCTCTAGGTGCGGCGCGTTGATTTTGGCCAAAAAGAGAGAATGATTTGGCCGGGACATCAGATGGATGCACTAAAATGCTCGGCTATTGCATCGCCCCGTATATAATTAAATAAGCAAAATTTTGCAAAATCAATCAACGGTCGCTTAGCTCAGTTGGTTAGAGCGTGGTGCTAATATTCATTCCTTGAAACGCCAAGGTCGCGAGTTCGACCCTCGTAGTGACCAAAACTTTTTTGATATACTTCTTATTTTCGCCAGTATAAAACCCCGAATACCACATGCATAAACTACTTCTTAAGGAAGGAGACTTATTTTTTTTTTACCGTGACTTACATCTGCTTGTGATCGAACGAGGTTAGGATATCCATCTCACGATTTGTCTCACGGGAAATATGAGGTACCAGCAAAGTTCATATCCAAGAGTGTAACTCGATGGTTGATGCGCAATCGGATCTTCCTAATCGCACATTTTGTACTCCTTGCAACTCCCCGCATCGTCGCGAACAATCAACGCGGACCCATTTTAAGTCTGTTTTGATTTACTCACCAATTAATTTATCCGTCAATGAATCGTTCGCAATCCGTTCAAGGTAATGCAACGATCGAGAACGTAAGCCAATTCACTCAGGTCTGATTTTTTGCAAAACAAGTTCTCTTATGTGTCTAATTGAATCATCACACCTTTCCATAATGAGGCAGGCAGTCGCGGCATAAATGATTGGGCGTCCTGTTCTCAATTTGCCACTGCAGATTGCGGCTCTCTTTCCCGCCCACGCATCTTGATCGAGACCTCGAGCGTGATCGAGCCAGTTGGAAAGTTCATCGGTCGCGTCCAGAACTTAGTCCGAAACAATGCTATAGTCCGGAGCACAAAAAGAACCAAGTGGCTTACTCTAGAGGCTGTTAGTGCCGGTCTGCAAACCAAGGAATCGCTGCCTAGGTGGGATTCAACGAGAGAAAACGTGGACCGGGTGAGGAGAAGAGAACAACACTTACGCAACGACAGCCGCAACCCCTACCCCAATGCCAACCAAGATTTGGACAGCGAGCAATATCGCATGACACGCAGGTCCTTTGTCGGTAGGTGGTTTCTTCCCATAGTAGTCACGCTCCACGCACCAGGCATTACTCGGCCAGTCTATGAGCACGTTCGAAGCCCACGAGAAAATGAACATGGGAAGGAAGAAGTCCAGAAGGATGTTAAGGAAAATAGGGAAGTCCCATCTCAGATTGATGGCAGAGAAAATGAACGCGACGACCATCTGTGAGGGTGTCAGTATCAGGGTTGAAAGGGGGAGAGGAGCACGAACGCAAGATCCTACTGCTACCGCAGCTTCATCTAGGCTGTAGTAGTAGTAGCTGAATTTGCCGTTGACGATTAAAGTATGTGCTGCGATGAGTAGAATTCCCGCGATTAGGGAAGACGCCAGAATGAGGAAACTTAGGATCTTCCTGGGTTGCCGGAAATGAGCGGAGGATGGCAATGATGCTTCGTCTTCGGTTTCTCTGGGTACATCGAGGGGAGAGTCATTACTTCCGTTTACTGGAGCTGCTTCAGCGAGAAGAGGTGTTGTTTCAGATGCTGATGTAGCCATGGTGATGTGCGGGCCGTATGTTCACGAGGTTTCGAAGCGCGATGAATTCGACGATATTGAACAGCGAAGGGCTAAAGTTTATCAGGAAATAAAGCTGATATTGGGCTTGGAGCCTCAGATGGAAAGACACCTGTTCTTGAAGGATGAACAGATATTTGAGGATGCAAGGCTGCCTTGCTGTGCCGTATCACGTGAAGGAAAGACAGGGGCTGCCACCCATCGCATGTCGTCCAAGAGTACCTGGATAGGACTCGTTAACAAACAACCATTAAAATAAAGAACTTTGGAGTCACCTTTGCCAAATTTAATGATATCCGAATTCAAGTAGCGTTTTGAAGAGGGTAATATCCTCTCGCTATTTTCAAGCAAGGAATGTCCACGGCACGATCAGGAACTGGTCTTGAGAATCACAAATACTCGCACGCGTCAGCCTCAAACTCAGATTTAGATCCTTGAATTTATTTTGCAAATGGTGAGTGCAACGATAGTAGGCGATTGCGTAGATAAGGGATGACGGATCTGTAATGAGAGAACAGTCTGCAATAAATACATGTATGCATGGCCCTTCAACCCGATTCATCTTTTTCCAATTCATTTATGCTCTGCTGAATTTCTCTACCATTATCTTCGGCTAGCTACAGACAATTGACCCATTTGAGCAAGCTTCGGATCGACTAGAAAGGCTGACGAGGATGCACCTCGGATCGTCGCTCGACTGAAGGCAATCACGCTCGGATGTCGCAAATCATTCGAGTATTGCGCCATGAAACTTCTCGGGCGAAAGAAGAGTAAACTGTTTGTGATGACGAAATTGTTTGTTGGCTGTGGTGCAGTGTAAACGTGACGATGAAATGGTCCAGGTGGGTTATGAAGCCAGGTAACCGTTCCTTCCTTCCACTGCAAATAATCCAAAAAGAAAGATTTCTCTTTTTAATGAGAAGGCGTTATGTTAGAGTGCAAATATCCTTCATTCTCCTCTGGGATCACCTTCCAGCTCATTTTATGGTCCATGTGAAGGCTTATGGAGAGTATCACGTGACTTTATATTTTCAAGTGACACCTACCTTCATTCAGATATCAACTCCATCGGCAAGACGATAAGAGCCCAAAGAGGTATTCAACGCACCCTCGGAAGCAACTATCTCGCTCTTGAGGCCTCAGCACAACTTGACCATGGTAAGTACCTATATCACGTGGTAATATGTGGTCCGGGCGCAGCAGTCTAGACTCCGGCTAAATACTCGAAACAAACTTCAGACGATCAGAAACATCAGGATCGAAACAATTCCCCTTCTCCTCATCCCCAGATTATCACAGGACTACCAACAACGCTATCCAAGTTGCCATGAAGAGGCATATTGTAAACCGCCAACTCACCCTGAGCACAGGCTCCACGATGTCGGCCTCCTCATTTGCGACCAGATCACAGCTTGCGAAACACCACAGCGTCAATGAGCGCCCTCAATTCGCTGACTCTCCTCCTCAATCCTCAATCACAACTGTCTCTTGTTTCTGCAATTGGTGTTTAGCTAGACTGGGTTCTCCTGTCAGCAACAGGCGGTGCGCGATGGCTGACAGAATGCTATGTCAGTAGCAGCTGCAGAAGTCCATGTCAACATCAATAGGAGCAGATTCGGCTGTCGCATTCCTCGCATTCCAAGTCGTTCTCTGCTCCATCCGAGAGGTCCAAACATCCCCCGCATGTTTCTTTCCTTCCCGTTGAACGGGTTCGTGGTTATAAAGGGGGCTGAGTAAACGCCCTTCAGCGCCAACCCCATTTTGATTGGAAGTACCCCGGCGGCCGACCCGCGTCTGCTCTTTGGACGAACATATTCGGAAACATTCCAAGGAGTTACGCAAGTTCCATTCGCGTGTCAGATACTCCCAACTACATGAGGAAATCAACACCCCGGCATCGATCAGAAGTTTAGATAGGTCCCTACAGTTGCTCTCCCGACGCATAGACGCCTGTGTGAGTGGCCCCTGCGCTACCAAATACCTTTGCAGTGCTCATGTCCTAATCGAGACTTTGCTGTGGAAGGAGACAGAGCGCTCAGTCATGGCAAATAAATAGGTCGAAGTCGTCCTCATTCCAAAGAACTCTCTCATACCATCTCAGTCTAATATTCCCCATCTATCTCCTCCTTTTCCGCCAATCACAATCTTTCAAGCTGGGCTTGTCACCTGATCCAATCTCCAACATGTTTTACTCCACACTCCCCATCGTCTTGTCCGTCCTCCCCCTCGCCCTTGCACAGTATGGCAACTCAAAGCCCACAACCGCATCATCTCAGGCAGCATCATCAACAACAGCTGCTGCCGTAGCCGGTGTTCACACAGTCCAAGTTGGCGCAAGCGGCAATCTCGCCTTCTCACCGAACAGCATCACCGCAGCTGTCGGAGAGATCGTCGAGTTCGTCTTCTTCCCTCCCCAACACTCCGTTGCTCAATCGTCCTTCGCCGCGCCATGCACACCATTCAGCAATGGAACAAGTTTCTTCAGCGGCGGCATGACCACCAGCTCAGGCACCAACGCAAACACCTTTCAAATCACCATTAACGACACTGCTCCCATCTGGTTCTACTGTGCTTTCCCAGGCCATTGCGAAGCAGGAATGGGTGGTGTCATCAACCAAGCGTAAGCCATCTCTCTATATACCCTTACCGTTCATGTTGCTGATGTTGTCAATAGTCCCAACAGCAATAAGACTATAGAAGCGTACATTGCAGCAGCAGCTAATGTAGGCTCTACCGTCGCACCATCCACGGTTCAAGGTGGTGTCATTGGCCCCGCGAAAGCAGCCAGCTCTTCCGGCACAAGCACGAGCAGCAGCAGCTCCTCAACTTCGTCTTCGAAGAGTGCTGGTATCGAGACCCGTGGCGCTGTCAGATGGGTGCTGCTTGGCTTCACCGGAGCTGTTGCCGTTGGTGTTGGAAGCTTGATGGTTTAAAACGAGAGAGTTGTTTGGGGTAAATCGAGACGTGTGACTTTGGCATTGCCATGAAGTATGTTGGGGAATTCTTAGACGATGAGTGGGTGTTTGAAGGACTTTGGTATATAGAGGATTGTACGAATTTAGCTTGAAATAAAATGTCTTGGCCAGTAATATTTCCGTACAGAGTGGTCATGCCATACCGTCGAGACTTACTGAGGTATTTTAGCATTCTTTTCAGTTACGTTCTTATTTTTGCAAGTGCAACTCGCTCATCAGAACTATATTACAGCGACAAAATTGCAAATCGCAAACCTCAGGAGCCGATAGAGCGTAATGCCCGCAGTAGAAGACGAAGCGAGAAGTCCCGCCATCAGTATCCAGACAAACAGAATTATGACGCTTTCGTTTTACTAAGGTATATACATATCTATGGTGTTGGCATCCATAATGTGGTGGCTTAGCGAGGGGAAGAAGTACGACATACTCCATAAGGCTCCGCGAGAGGCTGAGCCACGCATGCAAGTCCACGAACACCACCCCGCACTAACACAGCACATCCCACCACAGCCTTCCAGTACCACGATCTCCAAAAACATATCCGGCCAAAGCACTGAACATCCAATTTATCATCTCGTCTTGGTTGAGAATCTCCAACATCTGATTCACGATGGCAAATCCAAGTATCGCGCAAGTA